GGGCCATACTCTCGGGGTTTCTCCAGTCTCTGTCAGACCAGTAAGTCTGGTCTTTTTTTGTGAGTTAGAATTTTGTTCTACATTTATCTGCAGCTCTGTCCAGGACCTTCTATTGTGATTCCTGTCAGAGCAGTCGGTGGTGGTAGCCAGGCACCATTTAATTGTACTGGATTCAGTCTGGTGGAGGCTATGGTAGTTGTGGTCCATTAGTCCTTTGGACTAATCTTTCCCTTGTATCCTGTTCTCTTCATTCTCCCTTGCAAGACCAGTGGAGTATCTTAGATGGCCGCTCACAAGCTTTTAAGACCCCAGATGCTACTCACCAAAGTAGGATGTAGAACATTTTCTTGATAAACTATGTTATGCCATTTGAGCTACATGTTCCCCGAGACATGGTCCCCAGCCCTCAGCCCAGTAATTCGGTCCCTCAGGGAGTTTGGATATGTCTATGAAGCCTCCATGACCTTGCCTTGGTCAGGTTGTGCTGGCTTCCCCAGTATTGTGTACTGTCTCACCCTTCACCAAAGTTACCACTTATCTATTGTCTAGTTAGTGTTTTTCCCTTCCCACCCCTCCCCTCCCTCGTGACCATCAAAGATTATTTCTTTTTGTGTGTAAACCTTTTCATGAGTTTTTGTAATAGTGGTCTCCTACAACGTTTGTCCTTTTGTGATTGATTTATTTCACTCAGCATAATGCCGTCCAGATTCATCCACGTCGTGAGATGTTTTGCAGATTCATCATTGGGAAACAAAAGCTCTTACTTCATAGTATTATTATGAAGTTTTAATGAGATAATATATTTATAAAACCCTTGGCACATGGTGAACAATTAATAGTCTTTATCAGCATTAAGAAAACAGCAACAAGAGCCCGTGTGTGTAATTCCACCATCTAGGGGTAATTGCTCTTACCGTTTGCATCACTGAAGGGATGCTCATTACCTGTCAGCACAGCTCACTTCATCACTGCCAGCTTGGACCCTCAGAATGTTTTTCTTTAGATTGAAGGACTCTGTCTTTCTTGGAGTATCCCTGAGGGGTACAAATGGTTAATGTGTTCTGCTGCTAACCAAAGGGTTGGTGGTTTGAGCCCACCCAGAAGTGCCTTGGAAGAAAAGTCTGGCAATCTACTTATGAAAAATCAGCCATTGAAAACCTTACAGAGCACAGTTGTACTCTGACACACAAGGGGTTGCCGTGAGTTGGAATCGACTCAGTGACAACTGTTTTTTTTGTCTCTTCCAGACTGGGGACCAGTATGCTCAGGCCTGGGCTGACCACATCGTTCTGTTTCTTCCCATGAGCATGCTTTTTTTCCTGAAATTTCACCAGAGAGAGAGGAAGGAGAAAAGGGAAAGCTGTTGCATACTGGGCAGATGCAGGATGGTTTACGGCCAGGATCTTCAAACTTTTGGGACTCTTTTTTCAACTGCAAGCTTATGTCACATCCAATATATATCAAATGGGAATGCTCTGGTTGGAGGGTGGGGACCCAGAGCTCCTCCTGTCAGCCTCTTCCTTGTTCCCTGGATTCAGGAGGTTAGCAGAGCTGAAAGCCTGGCTTAACCCATAATTCACTGTTCGACCTTGGGTAAGCCACATCACTTCTCTGGACCTCAATTTTCTTATCTGTAAAATGGGAATGATACAGCCTCCTAACTGGGCTACTGAGGGATTATATGAGATTATGAGTAACATCTGTGTGATATCTGTAATATTTGAATAATACCTGTGTGACCTTGGGCAAGTTACTTTCTCCATCTATCAAGTGAGAGAGTGGGTGAGAGGCAGGAAGGCTATACCAATGGTCTCTAACATCTTTTCTGGCATTCATCTTCTTGGATTGCATCGTGCCTGTCTTGCTTCCCTGCAAGAAGGTTAGGAATATGACATGTTAGAGCCAGAAGACCAGCCCAGTCTCTCCCATTTTACAGACGAGGAAGCTAAGGACCAGAGACTTCCTCAGAGTCCCATAGAAAGTGGCAGAGTTGGCCTGAAGGAAAATGAAATACTGTGAAAGCCTTGTCAAAGTATAGTTTTCAAAATACTAAATGCACAATTGTCACACAGATAAAGAGTTAGCACATGTCAATTTTTTTTTGTAGCTTATTAATGAGGAAACCAGCAGGAGGACAAAACTAGTCCAATGAAGGACATATTTCTATATATGGAGAGAGAGAAAGAAGACAGAGATTCAGCTAAAAAATAAAAAACAAAGCAAGAAATCTTGTATATTTGTAAAATTGCTAAATTAGACAGAAAACAGGTTAATGTCCTATAAACCGAAAAAACAAAAACCAAACTCCTTATCGTCAAGTCGTTTTCGACTCATAGTGACCCTATAGAACAGAGTAGAACTGCCCCACAGTGCGTCCAAGGCTGTAATCTTTATGGAAGCAGACTGTCACATCTTTCACCCTCGCAGCAGCTGGTGGGTTCAAACCACCGACCCTTCGTTTAGCAGCTGAGTGCTTAACCACTGCACCACCAGGGCTCCTCTAATGTCCTATAGGGAAATAAAATCACAATCTTGGAGTTATCTCCTCTATTGGACAGAAATAATTTGCGTCTCTTCCAGACAAAAATGATTTGTAACTTATCAGTTTTCTACCAGTTAACGGCTGTCTTTACAGATTCTGCACCCTAATCAATAGTAACTAATAAGTCAAGCAAAGTGACATTCCCCCGGAGTGTCAGATGACCCTTAGGAGGGCTTGTTGGACACTGCTCTAACTTGACTTTGAAAGTACACAGGTTATCTATTTGCCTCATTTCCAAGTATTGGATCATTTACTTAACCAGCTACTTCGAGTATACAAACACTTCCCAAGAAATAAAAAGGCCAGAAGAAAGACCTGGCGATCTACTTCTGAAAACTCAGCCATGGAAATCCCATGGAGCACAGTTCTATTCTGTAATACATGGGGTTGCCATGAGTCAGAAACAGCTCTATGGCAACTGGTTTTTTAAAGATACCGAGAGAAAAGCTTGAGGAAGGATAAGTATCAGCAAAGAGGAATGCATAGAGAAAGAGTGCTACCCAAGAAGCTTTCTAAGGTTCCCTGGTGTGGCGCAAACAAGCGCTTGGCTGCTGACCCAAAGGTTGGAGGTTCAAGTCCACCCAGAGGTGACTTGGAAGAAAAGCCTGGTGATCTACTTCCGAAAAATCAGCCTTTGAAAACCCTACGGAGCACGTTTCTACTCTGATGCACCTGTGTTGCCATGAGTCAGAGTCCACTTGACAGAAGCTGGTTGGTTTTCTGGAACCCCACCTGTAGAAGAGCTCTTGGGTTTTCAATTAATAAAATTTCCCCCAAACAGAAACACAAAGCACAGCCAGAAAGTTTGGAGGGAAAAAAAGGGCATCAGTAGTAATGAATACATCAGTAGTATGAAAACTAAATGGGTTAGTGATAGCCCGAGAGTGTCAGAACAGGAACACCTGCAGTCAGGGGAATGGACGTATGCTTCCATTTCTCCAGATCCCAGATTCCCAGAGGGGAAGCAGGAGATGTAGAGACAAGTGGAAACCCTTTGTAATGCTACAGAATCATGATCCACAAGGTCCAGTCTCAGAGGGTAGGAAAGGGACTAAGAAATAACCAAAAGATAAATTTTTAATTATTCATATTCTTTATGATAGAGTCACATTTCACTCAAGGGTTGGGTTCCAAAATCAGCATATTA